CTTTTAGTTTAAATAAGATGCAAACACATTTTGTACAACAGTACATTATCAAATTTTACAGATTTATTCAACCAAGTTAACTCACTGATTTCACTTCTTATACTGTTTTTAAAAGCAGTCATAAAAGTGTTGATAATTAAAGTCAGATTAAACACTCATTTATAAAATACTAAAATGCTAACATTACCATAATCGTTGATACTTTTCTCACTGCAATAATTCTTAAGTAAATGACAAAAATACAGACATTTGTTTTTGAAATCTGTATAACAGCCATATTCCAAATATAATTCATATTCTAAAGTTAATTTACAATCTAAAACTGCAACTAAACTAAGAACAAATAGATAAAGAAGTTACATAAACATAGAAAGACAGCGCCATCATCTGGAAGAGAAGAGTAAACCAGAAACTAACAGAAGTTGTTACAAAAGGTTAACATACAAAATATGAATAAAAAGTTAGTTTTGTCACAAAACAACATAAAACACAAATGTCACAGTCCGTCTGACTGAAGGGAAGTAGTACTATTATTTACAGTGCCACGAGTTCAGGTGAAATGTGCTCAGTACACAAAAGTAAACTAGAAAAAGTAAAAGTAAACTACTTTCAGATGTCTCTTGTAAATGAGTCCCTGAGGCTCAATGGGACTAACCTGTATAAATAAAGGTTGAATGAATGAACAGAGGGTGGGATCTAATACAGTCAGGCAGCAAAATCTACAAAACTGTAAAAAATATAAGTCAAAATGTTTTTTTGTTTTTTTTTACAACTGCAGCACAGTCTCAAAGCAAATCTACACTTTTAATTAAATCAAAAACAGTTTAAACAGTTTCAAATCTGTTAGAAAATCTATTAGATATTTCAAGTTAATATAATGTAATATGTCACACACACACACACACCCCACCCCCCACACACACACTCCACCCAACAGGGAAAAGACTGCTGTGCACCATAGCGCTTTATGCATGTTTGGTGCTGATAGTCTGCGTTTCTCAACTTGATACTGATATTTGTTTAACGGTAGTTGTTATTGATTTGAACATTTAATGCTTTATCACATTTATTTATCTTTTAATTTTTTATTTTAACAGCTTGACCTGGAGAAATATGCACAAAAATTTCAATATACCCGTTTATAACGTGTACAAGTGGCAATAAAATTCTATTCAAAAGACTTTGTAAGAGGTGAAAGACAAACTTTGGTAAGGTTCACAAAACCATTTATTTTATGGCCTTTTTCACTAAATTAAACGAAACCTATTTTGAAAACTGAATGTTTTTTTTGTCCAAATAAATAAATGGAGCCTTTCAGTGTTCCTGTGTTTTACCATGATGCTTTTGATGACTATGGCAAATTAGAATATCCCATTGACAGAGTTACTAGCCGGTCGAAGCAGATGTCACTTGTCCTGAGCCTGGTTCTGCTGGAGGTTTCTTCCTTTTATGAGGGAGTTTTTTCTTTCCACTGTTGCCTTTATGCTTGCTCAGGATGGGAGACTGATGAAATAAAGACAAAGCAATCTGCTGACTTTCTTCCTTCCTTTCTTGGATAGATAACTTTACTAATTGGCATTTATAATGTATATGAATGTTTCTGTTCAGTGCCCTGAGATAACTTCTATTGTGACTTGGTGCTATATAAATAAACTGAATTGAATTTAAAGTAAGGATACTGATGATAATTAGTTGTGTACTTTGAGCTTTTAGCATTTTAAACACTTCCAGTAAATTACTTTCGGCTGCTCACTTCTTCAGAGTCATCGCAGCGAATAAACTCGCATGAAAGATTTGGCTATTTGTTTTACAACGAATGCCCTTTCTGATGCAACCTGGGGCTCGAACCTGCAACCTCAGAATTACAAGACCGTGGCACTGAGAGCTACCGCAGCCCCAGGTTTTAAACAGTTCCAGTGAGAGAGCAAAATGTTTAATGGGCTTCATGTTGTGTTAATATGCAACTTAACTCCACAAAGCTCTCTCCAGGCCCGTCTCATCCACCTGCTGCTAGTCAGAGGTCAGGATGGCCTGTATGGTCACGCATGAGTCAAACTGGCAGGACTTCAAATTCAAAAGGTGATAATATCTAAAAACTTTGCATGCCGATAACCAAAAATAAAATTATACTTTGAATTAACTCACTTAGACCTCACTAAAGCTGCCAGTCAATCTGAATCCTATTTGTACAAAGTAAAAAGTATAAAAATAGTCAAACTGTTACAATTAAGAATAGCAGGCCCTAAAGTGTTTCAAAATGTATTTATTTTTTAAGAGTCGTACCTTATTAATAAGCCAACAAAGTCCATGCTCAATAATCCAGGTATACAATCCAACAATTTTCAGTCAGGTCATCTGGACAGTTTCTTTTTTTTTTGTGCTGAAATGTTTCACCTTCCATCCGGAAAGCTTCATCAGTCAAGGAAACACACAACACAAAACTGATTTTTCCACCAACAGCTTACTCCAAAGTGGAACAAACCAGTTATGTTGGTGCTAAGATGGTCTCTTTGGCACCCCCCGGTGCCGGCCCTCTTCCTCGTCCCATAACTGGTTTGTTCCACTTTGGAGTAAGCTGCTGGGGGAAGAATCAGTTTTGTGTTGTGTGTTTTCTTGACTGATGAAGCCTTCTGGATGGAAGGTGAAACATTTCAGCACAAAAAAAGAAACTGTCCAGATGACCTGACTGAAAATTATTTACAAACAAAAAAAACAAAACAAGAGAATTAATGTCCCCACTTACAAAATTTTGATGATAAACAAGAAAATTAAAATACACTTGAAACCCTAAGAGTAAACAATAACCTGTTGTTGTTTTTATTGTTGAAAAATCTGATTTTAGTGAATTTTAAAGCAAAATCAAAATAATCCCACCCCCTTTTGGCCACAAAGTAAACTGCAATAACAATGAAATTATACTTAATAACCAAGCAAGCATTTCGATTATTTTAAAGGGCACTGCATAATCTCAGATTGCTCTCTTATTACACAGGATTACAGTTTTGCCTTAAGGCTGAGTGAGCGTTACCTTTGAGAAGTGCGTAGGACCAACGCTGCACAGACATGTCAGAGATCTCACTGCATATACAGCTGCACGGCAGGAACCACCATGTTGTTACTTTTTTTGGAGAACACACAGAGTCGGTTATACAGTTCAGAACCCACCTGCCACTATGTGATTACTCTGCAACTGTTCGAGTGTTCTGACAGATAAGAAATGTGGTGATTTGCAGACACACCCTGTGGTTACCAAGAACAAAGAATATGTGGCCAAGCAGAACTAGCAAGCAGGTGGTCAAGTCTGTTAGATCCTCTGCATCTGAAACCTTCAGTGTCCCTTAAAAACCTCTTTATACAAATGTATGTGTCAAACGTAAGTAAGGACAGAATGCTCAGAAGAAAAACCTTTACAGTCAATAAAATGAACCAGTTCTCACTTGTCTTTGTTGTAACTTCCCTGGAAGAAAGACAGGAGCCTTTATAAAGGATATAAAAGCTGCAGCTTGCAGATGCCGACAGCTGCAAAAATCAAAGTTAGTGAATTTTAAAATACTACATGAAAGAAGAAACGGACAGGAAAGTTGTGATCATGGTTAATCCTCTCTACAAGGTTGTATAGCTGTTGATTCAGAAATGAATGTTAAAAGCCTTTATGTTTTGCATTAAAGTCTTGATGAAATAGCAGGTTTTTTTTAACCCTCTTTATGAATTCAGCGCAGCAAATGAAACGCATTAAAATACTTTTTGTCTTCAGACTCACCAAGAGTGTGCGAAGCTGAGCAGCATGGTTTGCAATCAGCCTGGGTCACCGCTGGCAAAGCTGAAACTTGAGAAATCTAAGCACAAACCAACACAAGCTGCAAAGCTCACAAAAGGTGTGATCTTTTCTGTAGAATCTGTTTCAACTGAGAATCGGCAACAATCACAGAGACAAGCCTCCACAGCTGATGACTCACTTTATGGCTGTGGCCTCGTGTCCAGCCGGCACATGGTGATCTGCTGCAGAAGGATGATTTTGGAATGTGGACAGGATGGGACTGTTGTTCAGCATACAGACTGAGATGTTACTGTGGTCATGGAGGGAGAGTAATCTGTAATCATTCTCCAACAAACTTACTTTTTAGCTTCTCCAGAGGTCGATCCCTTCTCAAGGTAACCCTCCAATGCAGAGTGCATCACAGTCACCTCTGATGCACACACAAAAACAAGGAAACAAAAAAACAACTAGCCACATTTCTGTGTTGCACATTCAGGAACTGCACATTTTCAGCGACTGAAAGTGTAACTAGGTACATCATTCCTTGGAATGATGTGGAAGTGGAAGTGAGCTGCAGGGTATGAAAGACAGATCTTCATCTCACACATAATAAGTTTCAAATCTGTAACTTCAAAACAAATATTGCATGAGGCTTCTTACTACCACCAGCTGGAACAGCAGTCTACGGTGTCTGCAGAGAATTTGCTGAAAAATCTGGACACTTTTGTGCAGAACCGGTTGACTCACGTTTTCGGGCATGGTGAACGTCAAGCTAGACAAATATACTTCCGGTTTTAATTATTTATTTCCGTTTTGTACGACGATGCGGTTTTTGTGCAACTCATGTTATTTTAATAACGTTGCATGAAAACGACAAAGTATTAAATTATTGTTAATGTATACCTGGCAGTATTAGCCTGAGTGATTTACAAAAATATATTTATTTTGAAAGGCATGGCGGTTCCAAAGCGTTTGTTTACTGTTTGGTCTGTTCCGTCAATGTATTCCATGAATATCTACAGGTCACTTTATTGTCTTTAAATTTATTTTATTTTAAATAATGCAACTAAATATTTACGAGTGTGTCACGTAAAGATTTTTCAAACTGCATGTAGGAACTAATGTTGTCAGTCGTTGTTGCAGCAGAGCAAATTTATGTGTCGGCGTTCGGCGAAGTTGGCTATTCACAACGAACCGCTCTTTACGTACTGCCGTTCACGTAGATTGTTGCTACGAAAACTTCGTAACTTAATTCGCTAAAGTGGAAGAGGTTGTTTTAGGGCGGAGGTTCGTTCTTTATCTGATTCTCTCAAATAAAAATATCACATTTATAAATGCTATACCACCATCTTTATCGAACGGCAAATTTGCGAACCTAAACTATACCAGATAATAATCTATAAACAGCTCCATCAGCTGGCGTTATTTCCAGCTATGCTCTTTTTTTATTCGGTTTAATTGCAATAACGTGTCTCATATTTTGACAGGACCGTTTTCCGATATCCTGTTTCACTGAAGAGTAAACGGGGTAAAATGGCGAAACGAAGAATCACGCAGGAAACCTTTGATGATGCTGTTCGGGAAAACATGGAGGAGTTTGAGATGAATCCAGAAGATGCTCTCAGAGATGCAGTGGAGCAATTTGAGTCGCAAGGTAAATAGCCCTGAAGTTTCGGTAATGACACTACTGAAATACTACAGTAGTGTAGTACACACTACTGAAATACTGGGTAGATTACTGTGCAAAAGTTTGAAACCACTGCTATATTCATTAAACTGAGGTTTCCAGCAGTTATATATTTTTAAGTGGTCTTGATGGCTCCTGAATTTCTGATTGCCTTTCAAATTTTTACTGGACTTGATCTGTTTTTTCCCCTCAAGTTTCAGTCCAGTCCTTGCAGCACCATGTCACAAATTGTGTGTAAAAAATCAGGAAAGTGAACAAGTGGGCCACAAAAGAAAGTGTCAGGCCTAAAGAAATAATCTACAGCAGACAAATAGTATCTGGAAACATCATACAATTAAGAAACAAGTCCATCATAAACCTGACACAGGGCTCGACGGATGCATTATGCTTCAGTTATCATCTGCCGACAAGTGTTCAACTGATACAACTCTTTTTTTTTTTTGTTAAATAAAATGCTAAAAAACTATTTTATGTATAGATTCAGTGTCAAACTGTTTCTTTGCCAAGTTGTCTGTTATATGTTGATATAACTTTGTTCATCCCTTGAATTTAAAAATGAATTTATAGTCAGAATTACATGGTGTAAACAAAAGAAAAAACTTTCTCAAAATGCTTGTCTTGGACTGAAAATTAGTTTTAAAAAAAGCTGCCAAAGTTAACATTAAAACACTGGAAAGTCCTGCAGATTCCTGAAGAAATATTGCCAAAGACCACTTTAAAAGAAAAAAAAACTGTCTCCTTGTGTATGGGGAAGTATAAAAAATTATGGCTATCTCAAGAATTTACACAATACTGTTTCCTGCAGCTTTATTATTTATATTCCCTTGTCACAATGTTGTAGTTACATCTAAAAACTGAGTTAAATACATACTAAAACTCAAGTTAAGTGGCACAGACATGAATATTCACTGTTTAGTGCAAGCATCATAAAAATGTATATTACCAATATGAGACACAAAACAAGCTATAGGATATGCACAATTGCACGAGACAAATTTTATTTGTATTTTTTATGATACTTTAAATTAATATTTGTGTGCTTTAAATAAATAATTATTTTTGCAGCATTTCAGGCTTTTTGTTAAGTGTTTTTGTTAGAATAATTTAATATTATCCTTTCAATAGCTCTTTAAATAAATATGCCACACAGGAGAGGTAGATAATATTCTTAATGCCAGGTTTAATCTTGCAAGATGAAGCAGAGTTGAAATAGTTTTTATACGTTTTTATGACATGCTGTGAGTCGCATTAACACAAATGCAATGTGTGATTGCAGGTGTAGACCTCACTTGTATAGTTAAGGCTGTGCCTGCTGTATCATCTGATGACAAACAAGAAGAGCAAACTCATGAGGTCCTAAAGGTGAGTTTTGATCTCCTTAAATAAAGGTACACCTTAGTACAATAAGATTTGTTTTCTCCCATTATCTGTTAATTTTTTACTTCTATTTCTTTTTTATATATAGGCTTTGGATTCTCTTCGAATTGGAAAAGACTCTGCTGCTGTAGCTGATGTGACAGCAGACATGAAATGCTTCACTGAGCAGTGCTCTGTTGGATTTGCTCAGAGATATCTGGCTGCTCAAAAAGACGCCTATCCCACCATCCTGTCCTACTGCAAAAAGAGCGTGGAGGAGCAGGACTCTGTGTTGACGGCGCTGTCCGCTCTGGCTGCACTGACAGATGGACAGCCGGACTTGTTGGATGCAGAAGGACAACAGTTTCTTTTGGATGTCCTGAAGAAACACCAAGCAGATTCTTCGGTGACGTGTGTTGCCATCTGCGTGGTGCGTCACTGCTGCTTAAAGCACGAACAGAACAGGCAGGATCTGGTTAAAGGTGGCCTGCTGCCATTGTTGACTCGTGCTATTACACAACACAGTGGATGCGCGGAGCTGATCAAACAGGCCTCGTCAGCTCTCAGGGTCATGACCTTTGATGACGATGTTCGAGTTACATTTGGGAATGCTCATGAGCATGCTAAAATGATCGTTCTTGAGCACAATGGGCTGAAGATATTAATTGATTCTGCAACAGGTAAGTCCAGCTAGAGTTTAGTTACAGCATTTTACCCAGGTTTTTATTTGTTTTTAACAGATCTACTTTCTTCACAGCTCACCCTAATAACACGTCTGTTCTGAGTGAGCTGTGTGCAACTTTAGCCCGCCTGGCTGTCAGGAACGAGTTTTGTCAAGACATCTGTGATCTTGGTGGATTAAAGCTCATTATGACGTTGCTTGCCGATAGCTATGAATCAGCGGTAGTGTACAATAATAATAATAATAATTTGTGATACAAATAGAATTAAATAGACTTTACATGTATGGTTGTTCTCCTCACTGAATTTGTTTTCACAGGAGCTGGTCCGGCAGGTCCTCAGCGCTATACGTGCTATAGCGGGAAACGATGACGTGAAAGACGCAGTTGTCAGTGCTGGTGGCGTGGAGCTCATTGTCATTGCCATGAACAGACACATGACAAACCCTACTGTGAGTTGTCTGCGTTTTATATGAATGCTCTTTCTCCTAGCGTAGCTTCAAATTTAAAATTAAAATAATTTTACATATGAATTTGTTTTAAAATTGTAAATGTACGTTTAATTTAAATGTAATTTTAAAAACAGTAGTTTGAGGAAAAAGTGCAACCGATGCTTTGAGACCCTGCTCACATTTTGCTGCAGGTCTGTGAGCAGGGCTGTGCTTGCCTCTCTGTTCTTGCCTTACGTAAACCCAACAACTGCAAAGCCATTATGGAGAATGGAGGCGCCTTTGCTGCTGTGCAGGCCATGAAGGCTCATTCTGATGCGATCAATGTGCAGGTAAAGTGAGATTTTTAAAACTAGTATGTTTATTAGAAATATGTCATATTGATGTGTTTTTCATGTTGCTATTCCTGAAAAATCACCAGAAACAAGCCTGCATGTTGTTGAGAAACCTGGTGGCGCGTATGCATAACTACAGCCAACCTATCTTGGAGATGGGAGCAGAGGTGCTAATTGCTCAGGCCGTGCAGACGCATCAAGACTGTGGGGATGTGGGTAAAGCGGCCCTCAGAGATCTGGGATGTCAGGTGGAGCTTCGAGAGCTGTGGACTGGCAAACATGGCAGCCTTGCCAACTGAGAGAGGAGCAGAGTATCACTGCACATCATACACATTTAGTCACTAGGAAATGCTGTGGTCTTGGTACATGGCTTTCATGCACAGTACCTGATAAAGATGAAATCTGTTTTGCTGTATGTTTCTGTATGGTGACAATGCTGATCAAAAGGGACATCAAAACTTCAAAAAAACACCCACAACAGATTGAATAAGTCTTAAAATTCAAATGCAAAAAGGACTGTGAAATAGCTTTTTTAAATCATCTGTAACATTTTATTTAAAACAAATGTAACAGCTTGTTTTTGCCTTTGCTTGATGTAAGTCAGTGGTTCTCAAAATGTTGGGAACGACCCCTGTCAGTGCCATGACAGGGAGTGTGTGTGAAGCTATTTAAAATTTCTTGAGTGAAATCCTGAAAAAAAAGTTGTAAGTGGAACTAATGTTCAGACATTGTTGCAACTCTGACTTGTTTTTATGTTACATGAAACATGTTTCTATGTTGGTTAGATGGACAGATCTCATGCTGGGAAGTGTGGAGAGTGGATCTGCTCCTACTGTCCAGCTTGCGCATGATAATAGAAGTGATGACGAACAAATGGGAGGAGGAACGTTTGCTGGCTGGAGGAGGTGTCACCTTAAATTGAGGACAAATTGTCAGACTACTGGTAATAATGGTCGAGGTGGGCTAATCTGAGCTGGAAATCCCACATTAAAAACCATCTGATGATGTGGCCTTCGAAGAGCTGGAAACTGCTTACTCAAGATGGGTGCCTGTGTGTTAGTGTGGATTCATAGAAAGAAAAAAACAACATTTTAAATCATAAACGGAAATTAGAAATGTCTTTCTGTTGAAAACATGGTGGAGGGTAAGAAACATGTTTGTATATAAACTGCTGACAGGATTAAAGTTAAAAAAGTAACACATGTTGAAACATTACACCCCAGTAATGTTAGAAAAGTATTTGACTTTTGAAAAAGAACACTAAAATAACCCAATCTGAAAAAAATTATAAAAATAAGCATCTAAATAAAACATTAAGCCACAAATATAATGCAGCACTTCATTTTTTTAAATACACATTTGACTCATTCCAGCCAACAATACTGCGGAATATTAAAATTTATCAATTTTGTATTTATTGAATGCATGTTTTGTTTTGTTTGACCATTTTTGATTAACCAGAGGTAAAGGTTAAATTAATTTTTTTTTTTTTGACAAGAATTTGCCAGGAAATTAAATTTGACTCATTTTGTTTTAATCTTGTTAAGATGGGCTGTTGCGAAAAGTTTGAAAACCACTGACATACCGGTAATTTCATTTGCGGCTGTCAACTGTGCTGCACTGAGCAAATTCCTTTCTCATGTTGAGCCAAGTTTTGCATGTATTGATTGGTTGGGTGTTTAATCCCTGCAAAAGTAATGCAGTTGTACTGTATGTTGGTGAGTGTTTAAGTATGTACTGTAACGATGCCCTTTGTGCAGAAAAACATCAGTAAACCTCTTTACTCTGGATCAGGCTTGATGATCAGCTTTGAGGAGTTTCCACCCAACCCTCTAACTGGGTTGCTGGGCTGGTTTTACACACGATCCTTGCTTTAGGTCTCTCGGCCTTTCCAAAACATTAACATTCTCTTTATCAGCCACCTTCTAGCACCAAGACTTGTGTTGAATTTTGTTAACATTGTTAATGCTAGAATCATTCAGAATAATTTTTCCATCACAATTATAAAGTTGTAGAGGCTCAGTCGTAGCAAAACAGAACCAAATAGTACCACCATCTTATTTCGCACCTAATGGACACAATATTGCAAATATCAAGATTAGTCAATATGAGGATTTATTTTGTTTAAAGGTGACGCTGCAGTACTTTTTCTCTTGAAGTCATTTAACTTTATTTGTGCAGATTCTGTCTGTAGATTAGTGGAGTCTAAACTTCAAATTTTTTTTTATTTTGACCTACTGAGCATCTCGACTATTATTTTGAGGGCCTTACAAATCTTTGTGCTCTCTCTTATACAATACAAGGAAACTGTTGTGAAAATAAGTTTGTAATGAAGAGCTCGATCATAATTTTTGTTAAACAGCTGATCGCATCTCGCCGACTGAAAAATATTGCTTTGATTTCATTTTAAAACTACACTTAATTCACAATTAATACTGTAGTGTTACATAAGCTTGGTTCAACAAATATGCTATTTATATGTATTAAATAAAAAAACTTGTGTTTATGTTCCCTTTACGTATAGTAAAATATGATTTTTGTTTTATTTTGGTAGAAATATGAAAAATTTAGCTTTAAATGCATAATTTTATATAATTTAATATGTTTAATCTATATATAGATAGATAGATAGATAGATAGATAGATAGATAGATAGATAGATAGATAGATAGATAGATAGATAGATAGATAGATAGATAGATAGATAGAAAGCTCAGAAACAGGTTTGAGTCCTCGCCCCTTTAACCGACCTATCCAAGCGCGCCCTACCACAGTGGGACTCCATTTCCCACAATTCACAGTGCTTGTCCTTGTCAAACTGATCAAGCTAAAGTGAACCGCCCCTGGATAGCTGACGGGACGGGCGGCGGAGAACAGCATGGAGGGTGATATCTGTCACATGAAGCCACTGCTATGCGGCTAGATTTGAGAAGTGTAAGAAATACAGTGCCTTTAACACCCCGACATAGTTTCTGTCAGCAGTCAGCTTTATTATATTCTCTTCGCTTTAGACAACAGAGTGACACTGTAGCGTTAAGCTAACAGCTAGCTTACCTTACTTCTCCTTCCAGTTGTTCAAGTTAGAAACATCTAAACTCGAGACAGCACGAAGAGAAGTCATTCATAGCAAGTCTTCGAGCTGGTGTCAGGTTTTTAAAGGTAAGAAATCCGATTTTATCCGATGTTTATTAAAACTTAGACAGCCGTCTGGCTACTGGATTCGCCGTGTTTTGATAGTGATCAACTTTTTAAACAGCCTGCTGCTGCACCACTTAGAAACAAACTGGGGCAGGAACAGTGCAGAACTTCATCTGATTATGGTGAAGCACTGCTTAAATGTACTTCATCATACTGGTTTTAAGTTGTCTATCAATGCACAATCTCGTGACAATGTTACATATCAGAAAATATAGTGCCTTTAAATGGATTTACATGAGTAATAAAACATGAATAAGGCATTCGTTGTTTTGTATTCATTTAACATTAACAATCAATTTAGAACTTGCACTCTTTGTTTTCTTCAAAGAATGCTGATATGAAATGAATAAATACTTTTATGGCTGCTTTTTATTTTTATTTTTGCAAACGCAAATTTTTTAGCTTTTAGAACATTGAGTAAAGGGGATATTTTCACTGTTCAGAAGTACTGTGCACGGTACACGGTAAACTTTTCATGCACTTATTGACAGCCTTTCATAAATTTTTAACCACTCTCTTTCCAGCAGTGCCATCCCAGTTGAACAAGCAATTAAGCAACATAATAATTCATGGGGAAGTTGTATGCTTATAGTGTACATGAGAATAATAGGTCATTGATAAATGTGATGTATGAAGCTGTAAGACAGCTGTCTTAGATTAGAGTAAGGAAGTGTAAAACGATATGCACATAGAAGAAAGCCAGAGGAGGGACTGACTGTGCACGAGGACAGAGTGCTCTGAAAGGGGCCACATTTGGACTTGAACTACACATTTAAGGGTTTGTTGTACTGATGCCAGGCTTCGTTGCCCCGACTACCCAGTAGTAGTTTTATGTGCGCTGGTCTTGTGCTTAATATGAAAATCTTATTGAATTTACATTTAAATTCATAATTTTAAATAATGTCTTGAATCTTCTCGGCTTATTTAGGATTAAGATAACATTTAACAACCTTTTAAAATTAAACTGTATTGTCAAGACAAGTGAGGTTGTGAAGACAAGTCGTTTTCAGTAGTTTAGACACCATGACTCTGTAAATGAGCAATATTTTTAACAGTGTTTCACATGACAGTGTGAAACAATTCCTTTTCATTTGCCCCTCCTTGGGTTTCATTGATTCATGGGAATTTCAGCTATTTCAGTATGTCTGGCTGGCCCAAAGCAAACTGCATTGTTTTCTTCTGCTTTTGTTCCTTCAGTATGAAGCAAGCAGTTTGTTTTCAGGGCTTTGACGATGAGTGCGATCTATTTGCTCCCAGCTCTCCATCAGATAAGTCAGTCAGAGTTTGACGCTAGTAAAAACAAATTAAAAACCGACAATTCAGGAAGTAAAGATTTTCGAACTGCAAAATATTGCGAACGCCGTTTTCAACGAACAGTTCAGCTTTACGTATTTCACAAAAACATGGCTGTGATTGAAAGCCGAGTTGTTCTGGGTGCTGTTTCGTTGTGATACTAGCCCAGAATTAAACAATTAGCCTTTGTTGGCATTAAATGGCCGATTTGTGTGGTGGAATGATTCACACACTGAAAATCATGCTTGTTTGTGACAGTGTTGAGCTCACCTGAGATGAATTTAGTTGTATTTAAGATAATCTAGTCTTTGCTCATCAGATGAGTGTGGCTGTCCTGACTGTGGGACGTTTTGGAAACACTGAAATCTGATATTCAAGCAGAGGATGTGTCTGAACAGTACTTGTTTTGTACAGTCTTTTTTCATCTACAAGCTTTCAGCGCTGCCCTTGATCAGATTCTTTTTCTTGTAGCATACTGGATCTGTTTTGTCTTATGTTGCCATCAGTTTCAGGGGAACGATTATGATTACTTGATCACTCATTTGGCCTGCTGTTCAGTAGCACCACTTGCTTTTATTTTTAAAGATGTTCATATGAAACTGTTTGCCTGAAGAAGCAAAAGACGTACAGCTCTGTTTCGGTTTATAACTTATCGGCTCATGAACTATTCTCGTGAGTCCCGTTTGTTTGCATGACGGTTCTTCGTAGAGTCATGTTTGTTACTTTGTTTTTTTTCCCTTTCTATAAAAGTAACAAGAGAGAATGCTTTGCTTAATATATCACATGAAGTTTGTTTTAAATTTGGCCTATCCTAAAACTGGCCTGTTCTGTTTTTATGTGTTTATTTTCCCTACTGAACCCTGCAGCCTCCAGGCCCTCGCCCTGCGGGTTGAATTCATGAGCGTGCTCGGTGTGTAGTCCGTCCGTGGGGATGGGAAGTGGAGTCCGGGAGCAACGAGCACCGCTGACGCAGGGAGAGGTGCTGCCGTTGGCGCCCTCCAGCCAGTCGGTGGAGAAATATGAGGTAAGGTCTCGCATTTACTGTTTTTCTTCAATGCCTAAAGAACAAAAAATGGATGTTGTGTTATTATACACAATCAATATGTTGCCGTGGTAGCTTTGTGGTCAGGGCCGTGGATTTGTAATCCTGAGGTTGCAGGTTTGAGCTCAGGTTGTCAAATGTTTTGTGCAAGTTTGCTCCTCTGCAGAAAGGAGCAGCTAAAAACAAATATCACTAATATTTTTAAATTTTCAAATTTGTGTTTAAAAAAAACCCCACCACAATAAAACAAAAGTGTCAGTTCAAAAAAACATTTACAAATTTATGAATTGCAACACAATCTTTTTCAATTATTTTCAACTGAATTAATATTGAAATATGCTGCAAACAAAGTAGTATTTGTTCAAGCGTTGTAATTTAACTGTGCTTTACTGGATGCTGACTGACAAACAAAATAAATCACCAAATATTTGGAGTTCAGTTCAGTTTATTTATATAGCACCAAGTCCCAACAGAAGTCATCTCAGGGCACTGAAGAGAAACATGTTGAACGAGTTGAAGTGTCCTCTGTTTTTCCTGTCTTGATTCATCAAAAAATGTCGGGACCACAGTCCGTTACCTGAGATGGGACTGGGACATGTCTGACAGCAACATGATCACATTGTTTGGTGCCTCTTTTCCAGGAGGAACAGCTTTAAACATTTCCTGAAACATTAATAAAGTTCAAGATAGTCTTATCTCGAAAACATTGTCCAAGCTAAGAAGCTATGAATAATTAAAAGCAAAAACAATTTTAACCATGTAGTCAAAGTAAAAAAAAACAATTAACTTTAAGACACTTACAGTAAGTTAATGACTGAGGGGTCCCAGTGTAGACTGGGTCATCTAACATGCTGGGATCCTGAGGACAGATCTGTGTTGCAGCTGTGAAATGTTAATAAATTTAGACTGAACTGCATATAATTCCACTAGTATTAGAGTATTTTTTTATTATTTGTCTTTATACTTAGACTTTCATCATTTTCAAAACCTGCATATGTGTAGTTGATAAATTTCACTGTATCCTAATAAAATTAATAGAGTGAAGTAAAGTAATCATTTTCTTGTTACATTCACTCTAATGCATCAGAACAATGATTTTACTCTACGACCCAAAGAAAATGACTAAAGACAATTTTTGCGGTAAGGAATGTTAAAGCTTTAAATGGATATTCTTATTAGCTTGTTGCCAGGCCAGAGGATAGTTCTCCAAATTTCAACAAGCTATATTCCATTTGAAGTTTTTGAGATGGAGAAATTGAAAATGACAATAACTCAATATTATGACGTTTCATTTTGCCAGCACAGGTCACTTATTGTTGGGGGCTGTTTGACTTGTACAAAGTGCTGCAAACATGTGTTTTTTTTTCTGTATTTTGTTAATTTTTTTTTTTTTTTTTTAATGAAATTTGGTTATTCAGTAAAACTAGACATGCCAACTACTGTATGTAAAATAAAAGGACCCCTGTTCAGGAGCTGGCTCATCTAATGACGTTTGCGTGAGAGGTTTTTGTAATTACGGTACCCTTTTGTAATTTTACTCTAATGATCAACAGATTGTCAAACAACTTTGTTCATAGAATTACAGGATTCACTCTGTGGCTGCTGGTGACCCTAAAAATGATTTCTCCATGACTGTGCAGGGCATGAAGCGCACTCGATCCGTCCTCAACTCACTTTTCTCGGGGGCTTTAGCTGGAGCTGTGGCCAAGACGGCTGTCGCTCCGTTGGACAGAACTAAAATCATTTTCCAAGGTAAGCAGGACGCTTTGCTCTCACATCGCCAGTGACCCAAATGACAAGGAATTAGGTCAAATATGTTTTTGGAGAAAAACTGAACTGTTCCTAGGCCTGTCGCGATAAACAATAAATCGATAAATCGTATGAAAAATGAAAATTATCGACCTCATGTTCATTTATCAGCTTTATCGTTTCTTCATGTCTCTTTTTTTCTACTGAAGACACTGGATGATAAAAGGCTCTTCAATGACCCCTCCCTTTCTCTTTTCTCTTTAAAATCTGTTTTAATTGCCCAAAATCACATTTTTGGATTGTTAAAAGCACAGACATAAATAATGTCTATGGTTAAAAGCAGCTAAGCTGAGAAGCTAAGCTACAAGCTAAGCTAACAGGCCGACCTCTGGAAAAAACCTCCGTCTTGTTGAAGCTCCAAAATTCATGGTTGAAACTCGTTCCTTCGTGTACAAAGTTGTTTTTCTCTGCAAAAAGAAGCTGAGAACTTGTTTACTGATTTTTTAATAAAAAAATTTGTGTGGAAAAATGCTATGCTAATTCACACCGAGCCTCCGTCATTTTGAGAACCGAAAAAAAGGAAGGAGAGACAACCCGTGTCACGTCAAGGGGCTTCCCTCCAATTTTTATTAAAGAGACACGCTTCTCGCTCCCTCACTATCCATCCTTCGGTTCAAACGGTCTTATACTGCCATCTGGTGGTCAATTAAGGTACTACACTCAAAACAAATTAACCAACATTTCTTCTTAAATTTTACAATAATTATTGTCAAATTTAAAACGATATTATCGTTTATCGCAATATTTTCTGAGACAATTAATCTCCCAGCAAAATTTGTTATTGTGACAGGTCTAGTTCCTGCATTATCATCGTTAATGTTGTTCACTTTCTTCTTTTTTTTTTTTTTAGTTTCCTCAACAAGATTTTCTGCCAAGGTAGGCCTGAGCAAGAATAACAAAAAAATCCTGTTATTAATCTGCTTTTCTTACACTAATAGCAGCAGCTAACATTAGCAGGAAGTTTTCCCAGCATAAATAATAGTAACATTAAATATGTGTAGGCCAGCACTTACAGGATATATGAAAATAAATTGTTAAAAAATGTAACATAAACTGAATAAATGACCCACAGGCAGATATTTAACGTGTTCACTGCTTGCAGGAAGCGTACAGGTTGATTTACCGCACCTACCTGAAGGATGGTTTCTTCAGTTTGTGGAGGGGGAACTCTGCCACCATGGTGCGAGTCATCCCGTACGCTGCCATCCAGTTCTGTGCACATGAGCAGTACAAGAGGCTGCTGGGAGGATATTATGGCTTTCAGGGGAAGTAAGTGAAGCCTTTCTGAAGTTTTCTTTCACGTCAAGTAGTAAAGAAACGGACTGATCTGTGTGTCCTGGATCCAGAGCTCTGCCTCCAGTTCCAAGGTTGCTGGCTGGGTCCATGGCGGGAACCACAGCGGCCATGCTGACCTATCCTCTGGACATGGTGCGGGCTAGGATGGCCGTAACGCCAAAAGAAATGTAAGACTGTTTTCTTTTTACTAAATGAATATTAATCGGTGTGAGGTTTTTCTTGTTGTGGTGGGATCACAATTCTACTAAAACTGGTTTTTAAAACGGGAGCTGGGATAAATTATAATGGTGATCTATTTTATTCACACAAAAAACGTATATTTTTTTTAAAACTTCTGTTTAGGTACAGTAACATTCTGCATGTTTTTGTGCGGATCTCTCGAGAAGAAGGCTTGAAGACGATGTATCGAGGTTTCACCCCCACTATACTGGGCGTCATCCCGTACGCTGGCCTCAGCTTTTTTACTTATGAAACACTAAAGAAGATGCATGCAGGTACCACACGTTCTTTTCACCCCCCCATACCTGCACACAGTTGATGTTTACGTGACGGTCGCGCTTCACCTCCTCCTCCTCCTCCTCGCAGAGCACAGCGGCCGCCCTCAGCCCTACACCTTCGAACGTCTGGCCTTTGGAGCCTGTGCGGGTCTCATTGGCCAGTCGGCATCTTACCCGCTGGATGTGGTGAGACGGCGCATGCAGACCGCAGGAGTGACGGGTCACACGTACGGCACCATCCTGGGCACCATGAGGGAGATCGTGTCAGAAGAGGGGGTCGTCCGCGGACTCTACAAAGGTCTCAGTATGAACTGGGTCAAAGGACCGATAGCAGTGGGGATCAGCTTCACCACCTTTGACCTCACGCAGATCCTCCTGAGGAAGCTGCATCAGATGGGTTATATCCGATAGATCTGACGGTGAGGGCGGAGTGATGTGCTCCGTATAAGCTCTCAGAAGGAAGATTTAAACAAACGCACAGCGACTCGGGATGTGTTGCTAGTATTAACGTCAAGTGCAATATGATCAATTACTTTTGAGTGTGCGCACATGAATTATAACGCTTCTCCCCTGGTGAGCTAAACCCGTAAGAAGTTTAAATGTACACACACACACACACACACACACACACACACACACACACGGTCGTGTGTACAACAAACTCTTTGTTTCCAGAGATGAAACCAAAGGTTAAAATCTGAGTTTGGTGAAGATTTTAAGAGGTTTATGGACAAACTTGGTCCTGGTTTCTCCCCACAGACGCCGACTTTAACAAAGTTTTCCTCCAAGTTTAATGAAAGGACAAGTTTTTGACCCACGTGTCCTCAGTCGTGTCTCTGAATTCACAGCTCGGTTGTAGTTTATGTGGTTTGTTTTATTTCAGTGCCAACACTTTAGAAGTATCAGGAGTGCCTACGTTGTTGTTTCATGTTGGTGTTTTCACTGTGAATTCATCGTTCGCTTTTTGAAAGACTGTGAAAAAGCGTCGGATGTTTTTGTTGATCGATGCAGATTCCCCCCCCCCCCCCCGTTTTATTCTCCCACTTTCAGTAGCATTAAGCAATATTATGCTCAGTTTTCCATATATGGGGCATTTTTATCCTAAAATGACATGTTAATGAGTAAAACACCCCTCAGTTAATGCCACAGAGGTTCACTGTTGCGTTGCTGCTGACACTGTTCAAAGGCGCTGCTTTTTAAATCTGATGTAGTATCACAGTAGATTGTTGGGTTTAAACTCTTCATCATCCTCATCTGCATGCTGCTGGATTCAGCGTTGTCTTCCAGTCAGTGTGACAGCCTCTTGGTACATTATAAAACTTTTTACAGTGTAGAGTTGTGGCAGCGCAGGCAAGTGGAATGACACGACAGGAAAAATTCAGTCATCTATTAAAGTGGTAATGTGAGTTCTCTGAATACACATTGGTGCTCTCATTGTTGAACTTTGTCTGAACACATAATAAAACTCATCTAATTGTTACGTGGAGGACAAAATAAGCAACTTGTTTTACAGTTTGTGCAGCGTTTGGTTTGACACGTTATCTTTGGAACGGCACTGATGAAAGCGCACAGTTGCTGAAGACGAGCATCACTTTCTATACTTAGACCTCACATACCACGCAGGAGCAAAGTGGAGCAGAGGGCGCGTTGTGTCGTTGATATCAGGAAATGGTGGACAGGCTTTGGAGAATTGATTTACAAAACACCATTTAAAAAAAAAAAAAAATCTGCTACAGCTGCCCAGCATATGATTTATTAGCAATAATCGCTAGGGATGCACAATATTATTGGTATGGTATCAGCCGATATTAGCAATGTTAAATATCGTACATTAGCCAGTCCATCAAAATAACTCACCGATATAAAAGGTTTCTGTTTTAAGTTCTTTTTAAATTTAAGAAGCGGTCAAGTATATCTATTAATGCACTATTTTCACTTGTCGCTTGTGAACAGGTTGAGTTTAGATTTGTGAAAATTTACAAATTTGCAATTGTTGTCAAATTTGACATTAAACATAATCCACGTTGAAGTGTTGCATCATTTTCAGCCCCCTTTTTGACATCTGCATTTGGTAGCAGGCCCAACTGACCAAGAGCATGAATAATGTATTTTAATTTCACAGCAGAGAAAGCTATGTAGCCTCTGTAAGTAGGGCTAGGAAAAATAAAATCAGTATTGGTATCGGTTATCGGCTAAATAAGTTTTAACATATAAATCCAATATCGTGCATCCCTAAAATCGCTACAGTCTTTTATTAAGGTCCTCAGCGGAGCTTGGGAAAGATTGTTTGAATCTTAGAGATTGTTTTTAACTGCACTAAGAACAGAATGTTTTATAGTTAACTTGTTAAAATAAAGTGTTTTTAGTACTAATGCTGGAAACTTTCTAGTGTTTGTTTAGATCTGAAAAAAAAAATTCAAATCATACTCTTCACTTTTTAAAACATTAAACTATCAGAAATGACACAAAATAGTCACTGAAGTCACACGTTGTCTTAAAAGAAGATAAGGTGACTCGTCTTCAGGATTAGAGAAGCTGATTTCTTTAGTTTGGCATTAAATTGAGTTGTTCCATTGCTGCTCCTCCAAACAGCACTGAAACCACTAACAGGAGGTTCCCGGCTGAATGAAGCATTAAAAAGGTGGACAAACATGAACTTTTCCAGTATTAAGAACACACTATCAGTCTATCAATCAGTCATTTCTTTAGTTTTTACTGAGTGTATCTTTGTAGAGCTCCCACTCACCAACGGCTCGTTTCATCCGATCAGCTGCAGGGAGCACGTTACTGCCAATAACAATGCAAGTTTTATTTTTTATGAATAATTAGTGACTTGAAGACCTAATGACAGCTTGGTCTGTATTGCATTTCCTCTTTTTTGGTTCACAGTGACTGAACGCTGAGGTTACTGACTGAAGTGCCTGATGAGAAACGTTAATGTTTTACTATAAAGCAGCTAGTTCTACTAACCTGTTTCCAGGTTCGTCTCATCTCAGTTTTGAATCTTGAGTATTTAAGCAGCAGTTTTAGGTTTTGTAACTGAATGTACGAGCGGCTGCACAGGTCCAGTTTTTTTTTATGTGAAACCTGTCGAACGTTGATTGCCTTGCAGAACATTTTAGTCTGGAATGAGTTCATCACACGAAGATGTTAATTAATTTAAGATGGCTTAATAAGAATATGATCAGAATTTTTATTTTTTTTTAATATCAGAGGGTAAACGAGAAGCTGCAGGACTCGAAAAGACAATCATTAAATGCCAAAAAGGCTTTTTTTTTAAGAATCAAAGCTGATTGACAGCAGCTTGGCTAGAAAAAGTACAGAAACACTGTTTTCTTGGTGTATTTTCTACTTTTTTATGTTGCAGCAGATACGATTGTATAGATTTGTCTGAGGTCACCTGTTTTTTGAAATTGTGATTTGTGCCAACTAAAAGTTACTCACAATAACCCTTTGTTCAGTCTCCAGTAACGATGGTGTGTTTGTGGGAATCTGTAAATGTCACACTCTTGAAATAAAACTGGATGTTCACGTGTTGATTTGTGCTTTTCTGTCCCTGAATGTTCGTGCCTTGGGAAAAATGTTCAGATTTGGAAATATATTGAATAAAAAGGTTTTGAGCAGCACCTTCTCATAGTGGATCAACCAGTTTGCTGCTGACAGACAAAACTAGTTGTTCACATGCAAAAGGAGGAGCATCAGCCTGAAAAAGTAGGATATCTACATTGCTCCTGGGCCTGTCTTGTGTAGAATGCTGGTTTGAGAGATGGGTAATGGAAACCGTCTTTGTGTTGAGAACTTGTCCATCGTTAAACAGGGCCGGGGGCCTCCGTGTTCAACTGCTATTGCATCACTCAGCCCTCTGTGCACGTGGCCTTCAGGCCACTAACGATCAATTTTTAAGCTGATGGTCCTCCTTTTGCATGTGAACGACTAGTTTTGGCTGTCACCACCAAACTGGTTGATCCACTATGAGAAGGTGCTGCTTATAAGACTGTGTTTGTGCAACTCCTCAGACAGATGAAGTCTTTTGGATAAAAGACGAAACGTTTCACCAAAGAATCTGACCAGAGGACCTTACTCAACCTTGTTAGATTTATCTACCTGGATTATTGAGCATGCATCAGGACTTCATGAGCAAAATATTTGTAAAAATATTTAAAGGTGGCTAGAAAATTAGTTATTGTGTAAAGGAAATACATCTAAAATGGGAATTGTAGACTTACCACAAACTTAACACCACAAACATCAAGGAAGTGTTTAGCATAGTAAAAGTATGTAAAAAATAGTGATGAAAATATGTATGAAACAAAAATGGACTACATAAACGTTTGTGACTTTTTGTTTCGATTATGATTATTTTGTCCCATCAATTTCACCCTAATTTCGCTGACCCTGGATGTAATGACATTATCTAGACACTAGATGGCGCTCCAACCAAAAAAAAACGGGGTTTTCTGCAGTTCTGCTTATCGCCGACAGGTGGCAGCAGAGTCCTGCTCCGCCGGCTGGAGGCAGAAACCGATGGGAGCTGCAGCTCTGCCCCGAGGCCGCGCGTTCAATTTGGCCGTGAACGCAACGCACTAACAAACATATCACAATTAATAATTATAATAATAACAGTGTTGACAAGTTATATCCATTTATATTAAAATAATATGTCAAATTTGTGCTATTAAACGTTTACAGAAATAACACTTTTTAAATTTAAAGCAAAAGGGATGTTTTAAAAATGAGACAAAGCATTTGTTTGAATTTCATCACAGATTCCCAGATTTGTTGTGCTTAAAATGAATTTGGAATTAAAATAAAATAAAAAAAAACCAAGAGACACAATTAAAGAAAAGACTAATTAAAGAGTGAGTGAGAGGAGGGAAGGATGGAGGCTGCTGGAGGATGTGGTTGCTATAGATACTTGGCACCATTGGAAGGGGGCAGAGCCAATTTGCATTCATTCAGATGATAGTTGTTGCTCTCTCAGTCTCTCCCTGAAATAAAAGCAGACCTGGAACCATTTCCCCGTTTAATTTCTTCCCTCTTAATAACTCGGTTAAAAATTATTATTTTAACATAAAACTGAGTGAAAACAGATTTATAATATATTGACCTACCTGTGCTTTATAAAAATACAGGTGCCGTTTGACTGTTTATATGAGCAGGCTGTTTATTTTTTATCACTCACAAAGTCACTTTTCAGCCTTTTGTTTAGAAAAAGCTTTTTATCTTTAATGCAGAGCCAGTTTTATAAGTAAAATCTGAGATTGTCTTCTTGTTTAAATTATGAGAATATAATAAAAATAATAAAAAAAAACCACACCTGTTTTACACACAATACTTCAGGCCTGTAAGTTTTTTTATTTAATTATTTTACAGGTCTAAATTAATTCCTAAATTTTAGATTTGGAAATAAAATTATGTAGATGATTTAATTTTTTAATATAAGAACAAACCTTCAAAATAAAAAACATTTTAAGTCGCTTTTAAAGACATTGGTTCAGAAAATCTGCAAGACTTTATTAGGCCTCTAAATTAACTAACAGTATGATTGTTTTTGTGCCAATTATACTTTAAAATAGATTAGATAATAATCACAATAAAATAACATAAAAAACGTATCCTAATAGGTACTAAAGGGAACCAAAATCAACGGAAAAAGTCTTTAAAATTGTTATAATTTCTTTACAAAACAGCAAAATAATAATTATTATAATTTTAGAGTCATATTGAAAAAATAAAATCAAACTAAATTTGTGAGAAAGTCTAAAAAATAATTATATAACAAATAAAAAAAAAAACCT